GTGGTGAACAACTGTTTTCATTTGTATCACTCGTCTTTCTTGGGTTTTATTTCTTTCTCTTTGTTATTTTCTTTTTCATCACTTTTTTTTTCAACTATTAAACTGCTTTTATTTCAACCCATGAGCTTTTTCACTTTGACTCTTCCAATTCTCTTCCCCAACTGCAGAGTGAGTGAGTGGTTGTATGGTGTTTAGTTGCCATCTGGGGTTAAACCATGACAGGGCAATAACTACTTACTGGTTTTCATTTAAGACCACCTGAAAATGCCCCTCACCTGTAATACTTTGTTGGGTTACTATATTTAGGTGTTAACAGTTAATTCAAATTTGTAATAACAAACACAACATGATATGTTATTATAGCTCTCCCACAATGATAAAGTTATTTTAATATTAAAATAGCTTAACTGTTCAGTATTGATCTGTCACTGTCAGGCAGTGGGATACTACCTATTGTATTCTATTTTCTGTATCATATGTTTCCACTGTTAAGCAAAGAATTATCAACACCAGGAATAACATGCTGATCCTAATAAAACCACCAAAAATGCATGATAGATACTTATTCAAGTGCTGTCCTACAACCAAGTTTATCTATTATGACTTCTGGCAGCAAGGAATATTCAATTACCATTTCAAGTATTTTTTGTGAAGTTTTCCTCTAAAAGTCTTCTGATGGCTGGTAGATCTATTTATACAACATCCTTACAAAAACCATGTTTTTATTTATGCAGCTAAGATCAGTTCAAACCCACAGATTCACAAGCTCAGGTTCCACCTCCCACTGGAAGCTGCAGAATTACATCAGAATTACAGCAGGCACAGCATGAAAATTAATGAGGTACAAACCCAAAGCATCTACACTGAAAGAAAAGAGTTCCCTATCAACAAGAAATAGGACATGAAAAAGCTCTAAAGCTGTCAGAACAAACCTGAGCTATACAAGTGTAACTAAGGAAAAACAGTAGTGCCAACAGAAAGGAGATGGACAAGTAAGGAAGGGTGGCACATTACAGAAACATTAAAATGGAGAAAAGAACACTGTCACACACATTTTCAATCAGAAATCACAAAGAAAAGAAGAAAAAGGACAATATATAATGAAAACAGTTACTAATACTGATAGTCACAGCAAAACAAATTTAACCATTTCCCTTAGTTAAGACTTCAACCAAAACTAAGTGCTTGTTCTGTCCCTGAATAGTAAATGACTACATATAACATTGGACGTTGTACATTGTAAAAAAATTACAGAGCAATACAAACAGTTTTAACTGCCTAAACATCTGAAAGATGCTTACCATTGAATGAAAAAACTTAAGTTTAACTGTATGCATTTTAGTCAAGTTGGACTAGGACTCTTAACCTAAGAGGTTGAAAGGAAAAGTATTCTTACTTCCCTGTCACAAAGTACAGAGAATGTATCCTTTTGAAGTAAAGTCCAGATAAGAGATGGAATTTCAAAGCTTTTTTCACTCAAATACAACAGGAAAGGACATATCACCTATCAAGGACAGGCAAGCAGATTTCTTTTTTTTTGGTTGGTTGATCTGGATTTTTTTTTTAGTGGCACTACCTTTACAGGAAGAAAGTGCTTGCCCTATTCTCCTGATAAAAAAAAAAAAGCGTAACTGCAAAATAAATAAAATTCCATACAATCCCAAGACTTTTGGAAGACTGAAGAATTATTACGCACTTGAATTACAATGATCATCTTATGATTAAAGATCTAAAGCAGTAATTCCCTTACAAAAATTCCCAAATGTAATTAAATGCTACTTAAATCTAGAAAATATAATAAAAAAATATACTATACCTAAAGGATAGTTCTGTTGACTATTCGGAGGTATATTTTCTTTAGCCATGGAGATTAACATTTTCCTAGTCTCAGAAAGCTTCTCTGATTCCTTATTCTGAAAACAAAACAAAATGCTTTACTGCAGTACAAGGTAAAGGAAATATCATGTATAAGAACATTAGTAACATAATTATTGGCACTGGAGAATAGAGAGACTGAAAGTAATGCTGGATTAACACATTAAAATTACTAACAGGAAAACTGTGATAAGAACAGATTTTGTTTAATTGTTACTTTCCTTTTATATTTCCTAGTTTCTGTAAGAGAACTGTTGAGGATATCCCAAGACCACAGCTCTGGAGTGAGCAGAGGGCAGATCCCTGATAGTCACCTTCCCTAGGGAGGAGGGGGAAGGAGCAATAATAGCCATTTACAAGAGTTTTCTCACTTGTAAAATACAAATCTTACTGTGTATGCCTGGTAGCATACAGGTTTTTAAAAATCTACATACATACAGATACAAAGTATTTAAGTTAGAAATTACTTAATCTTTAATATATAATTTAACAAAAAAAACCAGTTATAAGAGCACAGTAAAACTAGGCTTAGCAACACAAGTACTTATATTCAGGAAAGCTTTTTAACAGTCTTACCCTCATTTCCATGTAAGGTGGATCATTTTCAAGTTCTGCCTTATCTTGTGCATATTTGGCCTTGTGTTCTTCAATAGATTTGTCTAAGTCATCTGCCATCATTTCTAAGGTTACAGAAAAGACGCAGAACTTTAGACGTTACCTTTACATTAGAATTTCAAAAATTTAAAGCTCAATTATAGTTGCTTAAGACAGCAGTTAAAAAATAACCAAGTTTGTCCCTCAGAACTACAACTCTTAAGATGTTTGCTGAGTCAACAAAACACCTGACTTAGGAAACCCATTCATGGAGGATACTACTTGATGTTTCACCAGAGAGAAAATTCAAAGATTCTAGATTGTAAGATTGAAGATACTTCTCTAATCCTTTTTTCTAACACAGTTAAAGTGTTTGGGGTTAGTTTTTTTAACTGCAAGTCTACCAATGGCCCTTTGCTACACACTAGCACAAGCTGACTGTTAGTGAACAATTAAATCAAAATTAGAAAATACACAAAAATAAACAGGATAAAGGAATCACTAGACAAAAGAGTATGAAAAGTGCATATTACATGTATAGTCCAAAATACGTACCAAATCATACAGTCAGTTGTGTGCTTAACTTACTATCATGAGAAGTCTTAAAAACAATCAAGCTTATTAAAAACAAGACAAAACAAAGAAAAAACTCACAATACATGCATAGTGTTTCTGGAGTTGGAGCCACCAGTGTATCACTACCTCCTGTACCACTAAAATAGCAGAAGCAATAAGAATAGCTACAATTCTGCAATAATCTGCCAATCATCTGTAAGAAAACATGTACTGAAGAAGAGCTGATTACCTCTCTTTCATAAGTTGTGCACCTTGCCTATTTAACTGAAAGCCCTTCAGAGCAGAAATTTTAGCATCTTATTTGTGGAATCTATTGTACATTGCTGCACCTGGATAACCTCATAATAAAAATGAGAGTCAATCAAATTCATGTCAGTGAAACTGTACAAAAGTTAATTTTGAATACTCTTTGTTAGAACAGTCTTACCAGAACTAAAAATACTGCAAAGCTGTAACCATGAAAAAAGGGAAAGACGAAACCAAAACCAACAACTGGATACAAGCCTACTCATCCTAATCTCCACTCAGTGTTTTCATCAACTTCACTGCAGGAGAAGTTTTGCAAAACCAAGCCCACTGATTAAAAAAAAAAAATCTCTAAGTTATATTCCATACTTTAAAAAAGCATGAAACTGAGAAGAAAATTGTGACCCTCAAATCACTCTAATGCTACCCACAGAACTTAAGAAATAGGATTGCTTATCCAGGTTCCTGAACAATCCCATCACATCCAGTATCTAAACAAACATCTAAACTATTCTATACTAATCTAACTATAACAGTAGGTTGTTTGAGGCTGATTAGATATCTTTCTAAAGCCTATAGATTGTATGAAGTAAACATAAAGGTATATTAGAAAACAGTTTCAGGAAGAGGATCAGAGAACTTCAACAACAACAACAAAAAACCAAACCACCACCTCAAATATAATAAGATAGCACATCGGTAAACATAAAAATAATGTGTCCAGAAAGACTGAGATAAATGCTTACTAGAAGTAAGATGAAAACAAAAAATGCTCAAATGCTATCATATAAAGCCAAGTAATTGCAGGCTAACTTAATTTAATGAATACATTTGCTTGACATATTCCCCAGAATGTACTCCTTTAAACTTTTTATCTTTTTTGATTCATAATATAAAATTATAATATTGTTACAAAGGAGGCAGAACTAGGACAACCTATTTACAATTCCTAGTGGTAATACAGGACAATCAATTCCAAAAATAAATACCCCCATCTGATTTGTCCTAAATCTTTAATCTCATTAGTTTTGTACACTGAGAAAGGATAAGTTAAAAGAGGATAAGTTTCCAGGCACTGGTAAATTTTATTTAGCCTATTAAGTTACATAAGAATAATGAAAAAAGGCTGAAGCAACTTGTCATACTAAAAAACGTAAAAGTTGGTCTCATCACCCATCTAGGGCAGCACAGTCATCAAGAGGAAAATAACCGCACGTAGGAAGCACTGTGAGAAGCCTTTTCAAAAGCTCGCTGACTGTAACATCTATATTTCTTATATCCATTTACAATCGCATTTATAAACTCTAGAACTGTTTCCAAATTACTGCATGGGAATGGTAACAAGCTTATTCCGAGAGACAGTATAAGGAAAGGAGTATTTGCAGTATATTTTCTATCTAGCATGAGGAACACCATGAATATTCCAGCATTCTGCACTCCCATCACGTTGCTTGAAAGAGCAATATAATAAATTTAAAAACAAAGACAAAACTGTTACAGTTGAACTACACAGGCAAATTTGATCGGTGTGAAGAAAGCTGGTGATTCCAGGCCTTGGAGAATACTAAGATGACTAATCCTACAGCACTGTTGATTCAGCATACCTTTAATACAGCTAAATAGCCTGGAAAAGTAGACAAATCCTTCTTAGAAACATCTAGATGTTTTGAGTCTTAACATCCTTCTACTTGAGTCGATCTTCTTAAAAGATGCGCAAGTGCAAACTTTATGAGATAGGCAAAACAAGTATCTTATACTAAAAAAGAAAAAAATCTTATTACTCTAAGCAAAAGAGTGACAATTTGAAAATGATGCATACACTGCTAAGCTCCAAAAATATACCAGCATGTAAGCAAATGTCCCACTGAATATGAATCAACTTTATCATTTACTGTATCATGTGAAGAGATCATGACTAATCACAATAAAAAGACGGAAACAACACATTTCTACCTGAGAAGAGGCCTACCACAGCCCTTTGGTGTGCAGTGAATTATCTTGGAGGTGACAGCACTAAACTCACAGTGAACTGTCAACTTCAAACTGGCTTCGCATGACTGCACAAACACACCAAGGAAAACCCTGACACTATAACGCCACTTCCAATCAAAACAAAATAGCTCATTTTCAGGTTAGCAATGCATTTGAATGCCTTTTGTACATTTCTAGCCCCCTGCAACTACTAGTAAAGGTAGCAGATTCAAAACCAAGCTTGGAGACATCACTCCATGAGCATGTGCATGCATGCACAAAAGGGGAAGTCAGAATATGCTGTAAACACTTGAAAACCCAAGGACAAATCATATGCTTCCAAAATTATGAGGTGTAAACATCATATTTTTCATGCTTTTTGGAAAACACAATATTTTGTAAATACCATTGCTAAAAAAACATTTGATAGCACAAATCTATCAGCTTTCCTTTAGCTCTTGCAACTTTAAATCTTGGATTATTTGCATTCTCAAACATGGCATTATTCAAAGTGCAATTTCATTAAACATACTGCTGCTATATATTCAACTACTGTCTGAAAATGTTCCATAAAAATATTTTTTCTGTATTTTTTCTTTCAGGAACATTTTAGATTTTCATAACCTGTTTTCCTTTCCAACTGAAAGTTTTCACAAAAGCACAAAAACTCTGAATAATTACGGAGTGAGCTAAATAGACTTCAACTTAAGCAAATATACCAAGCAATAAAAAGCACATAGATATTCAGGTTTGAACATGACATTTTTAATGGGTCTATGCCCAGAGTTAATAATGCATGTCTCTGTATTCAAGGTATTCAAAACATCTATGTGTATATTTATCTTATGTAGTATATTTAGCTATGTATTGTGTAGCTACTTTATCACCTAGAGCAATGCTTATTGCATTCCGTTTTAATCTTTCCCCTTTTCCTCCTATTTGTTCAGGAAAACGAGGCACAAAATTTAAAATAAGCATGTGCAAATAGATTTTGTCTCTTCTGTGCTACCACAATATTAAAATAACATCAGGAACACTGGCAAAATGGCAATTCCCATCCATATGAATTGCAGCATGGCTGGCAAGGAGGAAAATGCTTTGAAAAACCTTTGAAAAACCAAATGTTTTGAAATACACCACGTTTAGTAATTGTACTTGCAGGTTATACAGTCACCAATTGTGTCACTGAGAAACATTTTTCAAAGTTTCACGCAAACCTCCTAAGTCTCACAGCAGCCAGTACTGGCTGCTTCTCTATCCCTGTGAATGGCACTTAGAATAAGCTCCTGCTGCCAGAGACGTGCTTCCTGTACCTTTCACTGCCGTTTCTTTCAAATCCTTGGCTGAAAAAGCACAAAAGATTCCAGGGTCTGGACAAATAATAAATTTGGTCACAAGTAATAAACTCTGACTAAAGCAACTCTGACTTTTCGCAACTAAGAAGGCAATTCACCCTCTAAACAACCAACCAACAAGTTTCACGAGTTACCTCCCCTCCACAGTAGGGTTTATCTGCCTTCCCAGAGAGCAGAGCACGTACTCTGATCCAAAAAGACACCAATTTCGGCAAAGTTTCAGACCCAGGAGATCAGGTTTATTTCTCGCAAGAGCGACAGCTCGGGAAAGCGTCTCTCCCCCGGCCTGCAGCGCACGCCTCCCAGCCTCCCTCCCTCCTCGGCAGCATCTCTCGGGCATTCCCGGAGACACCGACCCCCCGGGGCCGGGGCGGGGATGCGGCACCCGCGGCTCGGCCCCTTTTCCGGACCGCGGCGCCGTTGTCAGGCAACGGCCGCACAACAAGCGGCCCCGCCGGAGGGACGAGCCGAGCCGGGCCGGACCGGGCCGGGCCGAGCCCCGCCGCCTCCGCAGGGACATCCAGACCCGTCACTGCGCCCCGGGTGCGCCCCCGCCCCGTCCCGCCCCGGAGCCCGTCCTGCTGCCCGGCGGACCCCCCTCGGTCCCGCCACCGCCCCGACTTAGTGCGGCCCCTGCGAACTGCCCGGCGGGACCGCGGGGGAGGGTCCCCGGGTGCCGCCGCGACCCCGCCGCCCGCTCACCGGTGCCGGCAGCCCCGACTCCGTCCGCGCCCCTCGGTTACCACCGCCCCGGAACCCGGCGGGCGGCGCCGCGCAGCGCCCCCCCCTGCCCCGGAGGGCGGCGCGACCCGGCCGCCACCGCCTCCTCCCACCGGGCGGGGAAAGGGAGCGCCGTGGGAGGTGGCGGGCGGGCTTCACAGCATCACGGAATGGACCCTGTTGGAAGGGACCACAGGGGGTCATCTGATCCAACCTCCCTGCTCAAGCAGGGTCGTCATGGAGCACGTGGCACAGGATTGCGTCCAAGCGGTTCTTGAATATCTCTAGTGAGGGAGCCTCCACAAGCTGTCGGGGCAACCTGTTCCAGTGTGCGGTCACTCACACAGTAAAGAAGTTCTTTCTCATATTCAGGTGAAACCTCCTGTGCATCAGTTTCTGCCCGTCTCCTCTTATCCTATGGTTGGCACCACCGAGAAGAGCCTGACTCCATCCTCTTGACACCCTCCTCTTAGATATTTATACACACCGATAAGGTCCCGTCTCAGTCGACTCTTCTCGAGGCTGAACACGCTCACCTCCTTCAGCCGTTCCTTGTAAGAGAGATGCTCCAGTCTCTTAATCATCTTTGTTGCCCTCCGCTGGACCCGCTCCAGGAGATCCGTGTCCCTCTTGTACTGAGGAACCCAGAACAGGACACAGCAAGTTAAAAAATAAAATAACAATAATAACAGTAATAATAACAAGAGGCACTTGGCGGGAGGCTCCCCGTGAAGTACCGCCCGGCCGGGGCCAGGGTTCCCGCGGTGCCGCATCCCGGTGCGATCGGGGGCGCGCCGCGCGGCCCCGCGGCTCCGACCCGGCTGCAGAGCCGCGCGCGGCCGCTGGGGACGCAGCGCCGCCCTCCCCGGGCCTGCGCGGACCGTACCACCCTGGATCGCACCCCCCGCACCCCCGCCCCGCGGTTGGTTCCGCCGGCGGCCCGGAGCGACGGTGCGGAGCCGGGGCCGGGAGCGGGGCCTGGGCCGGGAGCGGGGCCTGGGCTGGGAGCGGGCTTGGAGTCGAGAACGGGAGCGATGGCGGGGGCGGGGAGCAGCGCCTCCGGGAGCGGGATGGCGCAGAAGACGTGGGAGCTGGCGAACAACATGCAGGAGGCGCAGAGCATCGACGAGATCTACAAGTACGACCGCAAGCAGCAGCAGGAGATCCTGGCGGCCAAGCCCTGGACCAAGGAGTGAGTGGGAGCGGGGCCGGCGGGGCGGGCGGGACGGGCTGCGAGGATCCTGGTCTGACAGCTCTGCCTTCCCCCCGCGGCCTCTGTGTCGCTGCAGCCACCATTACTTCAAGTACTGCAAGATCTCGGCGCTGGCGCTGCTGAAGATGGTGATGCACGCCAGGTCCGGCGGCAACCTGGAGGTGATGGGGCTCATGCTGGGCAAGGTGGACGGGGAGACCATGATCATCATGGACAGCTTCGCCCTGCCCGTGGAGGGCACCGAGACCCGCGTCAACGCGCAGGCCGCCGCCTACGAGTACATGGCTGCGTACATCGAGAACGCCAAGCAGGTGAGGAGGGGGGGCAGCGGGTGTTTCTGCCCCTCCACGGAGATCCTGTGGGTCTTGTGAGCTATAGGAACACATTCGGGGGCTCGCAGGCTTCCCCCCGGTACTAGTGCCTGCCCGATTGTCCTGTTTCTCCTCAGACATGACAGTGGTAACTGTGTCAGCAGCAGGGAACTCAGGGCCCTGTAAACATTTGCACATAAGTACTTCCATGTCTTACTGTAGGTCATCAAAAGTTGGACTCGATGGTCTTGGAGGTCTTTTCCAAGTTTAATGATTCTATAATGAGTACGGTATTCTTTCCTTCGTAAATTATTTTCATTGCTGAGGAAGTGTTTTTGTGGCTGAAACTGGTGGCTTGTGGATGGTACAAGGAGGGATCGTGTTCCTAAAATAACTGATACATGTTTCTAAAAACAATATGCAAAATTAAATATACAATATGTATGCATCAGACATACTTATATTTGTACATCACAAATATGGCATTTATTCTTACCTTCTCCTGAAGTCTTACTGCATAACCATGCTGCTCTTTTCCATAAAATAAAGAAAACACATTAGTGAAGAAGTTGCCAATGAAGGAATAAGAAAGTTTCAGTGCAACTTAATTATTCATTTGGAAATTTAGCTGAACAGACTCGGTTTCTCTGTTTTCAGAGATCCATGTCTCATTAAACCTGACTATGCAGTAAAGTTCTCGTGTGCAGAAGGATAACAGAAATACGACTGCTCTGTGGCTGATGTAGAAACCAGCACAGCTCATCAGAACACCTGCTGATGTGCTTCTTCCCGTACAGGGCAATCCTATACTACAAATAAGAGTTGAAATAACTTAAACTCTCCAAGCTCAAATAGTTTTGAGACCCGTTTGACACTTTGATTTTTAGACCAGCTAAAATTAGAAGCCCCTTACTTACTATGTGGGTATAACAGAGGAGTATATGGGTTATTTTGGAGTGTTTTACTTATCTTCACAGCCTTGCATACTGGTAGAGATATTGAAATAGATGTGCATTAGGCTGAATCATAACATCAGGAAAGAATAAACATAATCATAGAATCAGCTGGGTTGGAAGTGACCTCTGAAATCATCAAGTCCAACTCTTGATCCACTACCACCGTGGTTACTACACCATGGCACTAAGTGCCACATCCAGTTTCATCTTAAAAACCTCCAAGGATGGAGAATCCACCACTTCCCTGGGCAGCTCGTTCCAATGCCTCATTACCCTCTCTGTAAAGAATTTCTTCATAATATCCAACCTAAACCTCCCCTGGCAGAGCTCAAGACCATGCCCTCTTGTCCTGCTGATAGCTACCTGGGAGAAGAGACCAACCCCCACCTGGCTACAACCTCCTTTCAGGTAGTTGTAGAGAGTGATGAGGTCTCCCCTGAGCCTCCTCTTCTCCAGGCTGAACAGCCCCAGCTCCCTCAGCCTCTCCTCATAGGACTTGTGCTTGAGTCCCTTCACCAGCCTCGTTGCTCTTCGCTGGACCTGCTCCAGCACCTCAATATCCTTTCTGAGTAACTCAATATACTTCCTATCCAGAAGTAGAAATGTTCTGAGACCTTTTTAAATAATTCAACCTTGTTAATGAGAAAATTTAGAAATAATGTATTTTATCTGGTTTGTTTTATCTGGAAACTGTTAATATCATGGTGCTAATACTGTTGTTGCAGAAAATAGGTAACTGGGAGAGATGTCTTTGCCTGAAGATACATTCATACTATCTTTAGATAGAGATATATTCATACTATCCTGTTGTTAGGTAAAAATACTGAGTTTCAAAACAGTTAGTATATAGCATAAAATTAGGGGTTTATATACAGTGAGTTCAGCTTGTGTTTAAAACAACCTGTGTGTCTGTAGGAGTTCTTATGCCATAGGAAATGTTTTTTGCTGTTGTCAACATTAACAACATTTTATAGCTTTGTCTACAGTTTCACAATTTTGAAATTGAACTCGTGTGCAAATATAATAACTCAGCTTTCCTGGTGTTCTGGCAGGGTTTGCATGCATGCTCCATATTTGACTTTGGCAAGCACTTGTTCCTGGAATAACTCTTTTTAATATTAAGTTGCTATTTTATATATTCCTCTACATAAGTGCTTTATAGAGGTCAGTGTTTCAGTTATTTGCTTCTCCATGGGCAGGATCTGGTATAAATACAGTTAAAATGTGTTATTTGGCTTTGAAAAATAACACACATTCTAAAGTGCTTTGTTGGCCTCTCTTATGGGAATTGCAAAGGAAATACAAACATTATTCACCAGTAAAAAATAAAATAAATGTTCCATTCAGTAAGCAGGTTTGTGTGTTCCCTCTCATCTCTAAATTTTTCAGATTGAACCTTCCTGACATACTCAGTATTGGGCAAAACCAAACAGGCACTGTGTCCAAACACATCTTAATTCTCAGTAAAGAACTGGCATGTAAGGTTGGACTGAAATTTTCCTACTCAGTGTGGAACAGCCAGTAAGCAATTCTTCAGAGAGGATTACAAAAATTAGGTTAAATGGGTGTTTATTCTCCTGTCTTTTTTTGGCTTTGTTCCTTTTCTTCCAGTATTTTTAGAGGTTGCCAGGGGTATTATTTGGTTTGAGTTTTTATCTGATAAAAATGTGTCAAAAGTTCACCTTTTGGATTTTAGAGCTGGCTCTGGGCAATAGTTTCTGTCATTTCTGGTGTTTGAAAAACATGCCTTTCAAGTTAATTTTTAAACCTACCACTAAACTAATAGTATATGCCTCTGAGATGTGTTACTGTACTAAACAATTCGTTCACTGCTGATGTTTCATGCATTATATGAGATTATATATACCTGTGTCATAACCACCCTAAAAAATTCCTCATGCCTGCTGAGGAGTCCCAGCTCACCACCTCACTGTGTGGAACCTCTTCTGTACTTCAGCTGACGCTGGAGTTCAGCTCCTGACTCCTTGAAGGTCCTTGTTCTGTGGCAGCAGCTGTAGCAGAGAATGCCAGTACTACACATTGCGCGGTTTCTAGGGGATGGTTGAGCAACATAATAAATTCCTGTTTATCCTCCCGCGGCGTTGCAGTGTGCAGGAAGGGCCGCTGGAGGGCAGCCGGTACTTTGGGAACGGAGATGAACTCGGCCTTTTCCCTTCCTGGTTCCTAGGTCGGACGCCTGGAAAATGCCATCGGCTGGTATCACAGTCACCCTGGCTACGGCTGCTGGCTCTCGGGGATCGACGTCAGCACGCAGATGCTTAATCAGCAATTTCAAGAACCCTTCGTAGCAGTGGTTGTAAGTACTGGCCGATGAGTGATTAAACGGCGTAGCAAATCATATTGAAGGGGGAATAATTTTTAGGTTTCTGTCTGTTAACGTTCTAGCAGTGTGTATTTTGCATGATGGAGGTGTTAGATCCACATTTTAAATTGGTGCCACGCCTTTTGCTTTGCTGGCCACATTCTGGCCAAACCAGTAGCATTGTTTGCCAAGACCATTTTCACGGCATTGTTCCATCTATGGTGGCTTTGTACAAATCCATACATTACTCTTAACATAAAGTTCTGCTTGGTACTTTTGAAAAAAAAATGTGTTGAGCAATCCATGTTTAATTTCCTGTGATAAAACAAAAAAAATCTGTTTCTTTTTTTCTCTTCCTTCTGCTGCTGAAATACAGCAAAGCACATTCACGAAGTTCTGTTATTTTGTATCTAAAGTGCCTTTTAAATTAAGTCAGTGGCATAGTACAAGGTGGAAGACACTAGGAAATGTATCTTTAAAGAAGCAACCTGAAAAAAAATCCCTGAGACCTTCATGTTCTCTAGGCTTCTGAAATCAAAAGTAAACCTTATTTTAGATACTATTTGTATAACCATTGCTACTGAAGGAAATAAAGGAAAAAATACTGAAATTAGTCATAAAGAAGGAATATAACTGATGGAAGAATTACATAAGAA